CACACACACTGATAAGTTCACATGCCAACCTAATCTAGACAATTTCTCAGTTGAGACCATCTTCCCAGGTTGTGGCAAGCCTTCTTTTAAAATGAGCCATGTGAACTAGAGACACTGCTCTATCTCAGTTGCCTCTCTCCTGTCTGGTACAATGGTGCCTTTAATGGTTGCTCTCTCATTGGGAAACCATAAGAATAAAATAAGCCAAAATGAATGAGACCTTGGGAAGGCTCCAAAAAGATGGCCATCCCTGAAGCCAGCTTTCATTGGCACTGGTACATGGACCCACTCAGGAGGTCAGTTCCTCCCAGTCCTTCATAGCCTCTTCTCCATTCAAGCTGGTAACTGTCCTCTGAAATAGGAAATGGTTTCTAGGGACTGTTTAGATGACTGTTTATCTGCACTGTCAACTGCATGGTTTTCTGGGTCTGTTTATAATAAAATGCCACAGGGTGGGGTGAGTGGCTTAAATAGAAGAAATCTTTTACCTCATTGTCCTTCATATATGTGTGTGTGTTTATATGTAGATACATAGATACACAGTTACGTAGATACATATGATGGAGGTGATGACAGAATTGGTTTCTCCTCTGCTTCTTCCCTTGGGGTATATGTGGCCACGTGCTCACTGTGTCCTCATCTGGCTTTCCCACTGTATGTGTATATATATATATATATGTATATATATATATATACATATATATATATATACATATATATATGTCCCTATGTCTGGACTGACCTTCTTATAAAATTTTCTGTAAGATCAAACAGACAGACAGACATAGTTGGGTTTTCGAGACAGGGTTTCTCTGTGTAGCCCTGGCTGCCCTAGACTCATTTGTAACCAGGCTGGCCTCAAACTCACAAAGATCTACCTGCCTCTGCATCCCTATGTGCTGGAATTACAGGCGTGCGTCACCGTGCCTGGCTTCCAAGTCATATTATTTAGTGTATTTACCATGAAGAACAGATGGAATAGGGCTTTAGTGCCACACACAGCATATTGCTTTAGCAAACTTTAAATGTTAGCTGCTGTGCTTACCTCTACTGTCATCACTAATGTGTTTTTTTTTTTCTACTGAAGATAAAGACCAATCACAAGAGGTTAGCACCAGTCTGAGACTCCGATGGCAGCCTCCGGTGGAATGTCACTTTTTGCTCAGTTTGAGGGAGGGAAGATAAGCGCTCATTATCCTTAGCTGTAGCATTTGAAAGAAAGGAAAGGGGAAAAAGAAAAATACCCAGAGAACATAAATTTTGCCACAGATGTGATATTTAGATAAGATTTAAATCCAGCCAGCGTTTAACCAGAAGAGCTTAGAGCTAGCATTAAATTCACATAAGTGCCAGGATTATGCACACGAGAGTCAGAAATATTAGCTTTGTCTCCACCACAGAGCAGGGGGAACTGTCTGAAAATGGATTATGGAGGGGACTTGAGAGTGTTACTCAATCATTCCTTGAAGTCGCCAACGTTGTAAAGTGCTAGTTAATAAATTATTTGACACTGTACCGTTCGTCATACTTGAAAGAGAAGTGATGAAGTCTCTCAGTTCACCTAGATGGTTGAAACTCTCTGGTTCATCTCCCAGAAGGGGCAGTCTGTAGTGTTTAAGTTCCTGGTGCTATGGATGGAAGGAGAGAAGGGACCTGCTCCTGTGGATTCCATAAAGAGGAGCCCAGTGCTTACCCTGAGCCTCCTGTGTAGAGAGCCCTGTCCACTTAAGAACTGAGCCTTGAGTTTTCCCAGCTGAGGCCAGCCCAGCTACAGTAGGTCTTCCAGAGCTGGAGGAGCATAGGGCAGGCTACCAGGGGCAGAGCGGGTATGGGATGCTCAAATATATGTATGAGGACTTGGGAGACACTAGGGTAGAGTGAGAACCAGGAGACAGGAGGCAGGACATGAGACCAGAAGGAGGTTTTGGTCACCCATGGCCACTGTGAGTAATGACCATGAGCTTGGGTGACTTCAGATATAAGACAAATATTCTCTGTGTCACACTTCCCTGAAGTCACACTTCTCAGAAGGTTCCTGCAGATGCTAGCTGTTAAGGTTTGACTCTGAAGTGCTAGTGAATGAGATTCCAGCTGTTCCTACCACATAAACAGATGTTGATCACAGGGAATACATTATTCCTTCACTGTATTAATGTCTTCCAGTTTCCATGTTAACCCCAAAGTATCATTTTATAAACCTTCAATATACACAACCGAAGAAGAAGAAGAAGAAGAAGAAGAAGAAGAAGAAGAAGAAGAAGAAGAAGAAGAAGAAGAAGAAGAAGAAGAAGAAGTTAATGAAAAAAATCAATCCTGGGAAATCACTGAGTTGGTAAAGTACTTTCCTGGAAAGCACAAGGCCTTGACTTCAGTCCCCGAAACCCACATTAACAACCCAGGTACAGCACTGCACATCAGTAATGCCTAAGATGGGAGTCAAGGACAGGAGATTCCCAGGGGCCAGCTGACCAGAAATCTGAGCCTGATTGGTGAGCCCCAGACCAATGAAAGACACTGCCTGAAAGGAAGTGAACTGCCTTCCTGAGAATAGCAGCTAAAATTGACCTCTGGCCTCCACAGAAACGTGCACATACATATGTGAGCACACATCAACATTTTCTAAGTGGGTAAGAAGCTTGGTTCATAGCCACTGATATATCTCTAGGATGTATCAAAACCCTCCCAAGAATATAGGCTTAGGAGAACTATGTCCAGGAGCCAACCACCAAAGTCTCCCCTTGAGGCTAGACCACCATCTGTTTATCCTGCCCAAACCCTTCCTCCTTTCCTCACCCCCTTGATGGGGAGCTGTCTGGCTATGTCTCTCCCTGTGGCTGGTATTTCCTGTGTTTGCCTTCATTTCCTCTCACTGACCATCTTTTGTACTAGGAGGGCCCCTCCTCAACCTGAAAGTTGGAAGTGAGGTGTATAAGGTCCCTTAGGACAGGGACCCCTGCTCTGTGGCGACCCCAATTACATTCTTGGCTGTTTCTGAGTTTTAAATAATTGGAGTTGTGTGAGTTTGTCTGTCTTCATCTGTCCTACTCAGGCAGGCTTAGCCTACTGATGCATCGATTTGGCAGGTTCTCACGTATGAATGCAGCCCTTAGAACACGGTCCCTGTGAGTGATAAATGGTCATGGTGAGCTTCATGAAGTGAAGTAACAAATTACTCATGGCTATGGTGACTCACCCACCCCCAATGGCTCTTCGCGCTTGTATTTTTGACCCCTGCTTGTGCTGACAGCTACATGTAACCCCAACTTCGAAATCATGGGCTGACATCAGCCTCCCTCTCACCACCAGCAAGGTAGCAGCTAGAGGGCAACAGGCAATGTTGGCCACTCACTGGAGAGTGATAGTCCCGGCAAGAAAGGGACAGGTGTCACTGGCGTTCACAGCTCATAGCCAGTGATGGTCACATCCCCACTCAATAGCAGCTAAGGCAGAAGGCAAGCCCCTGACAGCCTGAAGGAGAAATCGCTATTGAGCAGCTCTTTTGACTGCCTCAGAGTATGGAGGTGGGGTGCACCCCACGGGCACCTTCAGAGAGCCAGAGGCAGATTCTCAAGCTTCCAACCCCACTCACGGTAGTTTGTCTTACTCAGCCACATGTGAGGTCAGCCCTGATCCATGGACCCAAGATGTGCTGTGCAAAGCTGTGCTCTGACGTCCCCCTGACCTTGTTTGCACAACCCTGCTTCACACACCCTGCAAAGCCTCCTTATTTGTACCAACATTTGTCATCCTCAACAAATAAACATTGAATTAAAGAACCAAGATGAAGGTAGTTCTATATTCAACATCAGGCTAAGTGAATCCCAGCCCATACCTCTCTCAATGCAGAGCATGCTGTGTGGCTCTCTCACCTGGGATGAGCTCTAAGCTCCTTTAAAGGAGTCACGTATTCAGCAGGAAGGCCCTAAGGGTTAAATTTATGAAGGACTCGGTTGCTCTAAAAATGAGTCTTATCAGCAACTTGTTACAATATCCTTCTTCCTTTCCCTCTCCTCCCTCCATCATTCTTTCCTCTTTCTTTCTTCCTTCCCTATTTCCTCATTCCTTCTCCAGCTTCATCTTTCTCCTTCTTGTCTCCCTCTCCCTCATCCCTTCCTCGCCCCCTCCCTTCTTTCTTCACTCCTTTCATCTCCTCTTGCCCAGCATCCCAACGCCTTTCTCTCTTCCAAGGACTCTGAAAATGTTCAACCTGAGTATAAACAGAAATAAAGAGAAAATTAAAGACTTAAATTAAAGACTCCCGGAACCCCTGAAGCAAGGCAAGCTCTATCCAGGCCGCAAATTATAATAAACCAGCCATCACTAGTCCTACTGGACAATGCAATCAGATTTAAGTACTTTTGCTATTGGCAGACATTGAAGATGACAAAGTCCTCCTTAGAGGAGCCCGGTGCCCATTTCTCTTCACACTTATTGATTGACTTCCCCATCCCGGCTGAGCCTCACAATAGCCCATCCTGTGTTTCCAGCATCCATGCTGCCTCTAAAGCAGATGAAAGCACTTTCACTAGAAAAGCCTTTGTGATCTTTGCACAACCTACTCATTTCTGTCTGCTTTCTTTAACACCCCTTTGAGTGTTAAAAGTAGATATCTTTTTTTGTCCTTTAAGATGGAAAGTATGAGCTCTAGGCTGAAATGGCACCTGTGAGGGGGCAGGGAAAAACAGAGGGACAGAGAGTCTTGTCCCTTTCCCTTCAACATGGGTGTCGAGAGTCATCATTGTCCCTTGGTCTTGGGTTTGTTGTGTGTGAAATGCTGCCTCCTGTGTGGTCCTGAGGCTGACATGATACTTGGGGTAAGGTTAGCATCCATCCCTGACCTGTATCATACCCGGCGGTTAGTGCCTACAGGTTTCTCACAGCTGCCTTCCTCTCTCTGGGACTCTCAAACACGGTGCTGTCCTGTTCCCTGGACCATGGACTGTGATGAAGCTCACCTCCCCTCTCCACGCTTCTCTCCCTCCTCCCCTCCCCGACCCCAGGTTTCTGACAGATGCGACTATGTCTTTGTCAATGGGAAGGAAATGAAGGGCAAGGTGAATGTGATAGTCAGCTTCACCTACCAGCACCTGAGCAGCCCCCTGGAGATGACAGTGTGGGTGCCACGGCTACCCCTGCAGATTGAGGTTTCAGACATGGAGCTGAACCAGATCAAGGGCTGGCGGGTCCCCGTTGTCTCCAACAAAAGGTAGGTGTGTATGAGCACATAAGTGCTTGTGTGCATCCGTGCATGCGTGTATACATTGTGCATTGGGCATCCATGACAGAAAGTCATGTCCACTGTGGTCAGATGGAGGAGGGAAGCAGACAGGTAGCTAGCTACAGGCAAGAGTAGATGTGAGGGTTCAGGTGCCAAGAATCTGCCTCATGGGCAACTAGACTCCAGTCACAAGCCCCAGCTAGAGAAAGGACGAGCTTGGAGAAGGGGTCATGTTGATGAGGCTCAGGCTGAGAACTGACTTTACGAAGAAGCAAGCTGCAGGTGCCATTCATGCACCTGAGCAGACGTTCTAAACTCCAGGCACTGGTGAGGTGAAGTCTGAGGCTTGTCTGCCATAGTACACCTGTCACACCCTCAGGTGAAGCTAGGTAGAGAGGCAAGCCACCTATCATCCATCAGAAAGCCAGATGAGAACTGGGAGGAGGAGAAGTCATGATGTTCAGGCTCTCCTTTCTGAATGTCACTGCAGGGACCCCTGTGCATATGTTCAAGCACTGGAAATAGAGTAAGATGTTCAAGTGTCAGAGTAAGTAAGCTTGTGCCCTGACACATAAGAAAAGACTCCTGTAGGTTATGACATAGCGGAGGATTCGAACTGGTTATCACTTGAGAAGACCTTGATAGTCTTCACTTTTGAAGTTCACCCCTCTAGTTTTGTGACCTCTGGAAGAGGCTATAGCTTAGAGAGGAAAGTGGTGGGTACAATGGACAGAAGAAGGATGGTCCTTAGAAATATTTCTTTAGAGAACTGGGTTGCCAGGGACTGGGATAAATGGTGGGGCAGGTGCTTCAGCTGCTGCTGCGGCTGCTGCTGCTGCTGCTGCTGCTGCTGATGATGATGATGATGATGTTGACTCTGATGCTGATCTTGATGCTGATGCTGTGATGGCAGAGAACTGGCCAGGTCTGGTGGAATGCCCATCTCAGATACTACCATAGCTGATGGGCTTACCTAGGGCTATGAGCTCTCTGAGAAGCGGACAGCTGACATATTAATGGGGGCTGAGACGATGTTGGGAATGAGCCAGTGTAGACAAGATATCAGACAGTAGGGAACAGCCAACATCTGTCTGTTTAAAGTCACGTGTTCCTGTCTGTCTTAATTATGGTATCTCACCAATTTCAAGGTAAACACCTCTTTCTGGTGCTTGCCTAGAACATATTGCCAGTCTCCACAACCCTGTAATATTACCTACATATTTCTGTGTGTTCTGGTTAGCCTGGATTGTTAGGTTGACACAGCCAAGAGTACTCTACTGAGGAATTGCCTAGATTGAGCTGGTCTATGTGAATGTTAATAGGGAATTGTCTTATTAATCACTCACTCTGGGCATCACCATGTACTAAACAAGTGGCCATGGGCTATAGAAGCAAGCTATCTAAGCATGAGTCAGGAAGCCAGCAAACAGCATCCTCCATGGTTCTTATCTTCAAGTTCTCACTTGAGTTCCTGCCCCAATTTCCCTCAATGATGGATTCTGACCTGAAAGTATAACCCAAATAAACCCTTTCCTCCCCAAGTTGCTTTTGGTCAGAGTGTTTTATCAAAGCAACAGAAAGGAAACCGGAACACTGCATGATGCCAAGCCTTAATCTAAAACTCAGTATGGCTTGAAGACTGATGTGTTCAGTCTCTCAGATCTGTGCAGGAGCATCCAGATGTGGCTTAATGAAGTCCTGGGAGCTGAGGTCTCAAAGGCTACTGCCTGCCAGTGAGGCTGGCACCTTGTCTGGTGACTCCTGCAGAGAAGGCTCATTCAGGCATTGTCCACACGGCTCAGCTCCTCGCTAGCTGCAGATCAGTGGAGAAAAGGTACCTGCCAGGTGGATGTCTCCCTAGGACAGCTCAGAACACAGCAAGTTGCTTCATCAGAGCCAGTGAGAGAAGTCACAGAAGACTACAAACCACACTGTCACTACCTTTAAACCCAATCCTATAGGCAGGCATGATAGCATACATCTCTAATTCCAGCCCTTGGGAAGCTGAGGCATGAGCACTGTAGCCTGGGCTACACAGTGGGACCTTGTTTTAAGAAAAACAAAAGGTCTTATAAACTCATCCATCCAGCAAACATTAACTGAATAAAAGTCTTCAAGGAGCCTTTGATCCTTGATATATACTGGCAGGTAAAGGTTGTTGGGAAGGGAGAAACATTGTCTTCAGTGTTTTAGCCACTGACAAAGTTCCCAGGCTTCTACAAATAGCCTCTCACACTTGATCCTGTAAGCAATCCTAGTGAAACTCATTGGTTCACCTCCAAAACAAGAAAAGACACAAAAGTAGATGGGCTGGCTAATAAGAGAAAGGGAATCAGTAAGAATGGGAGGGGATGAGAGAAAGGATAATGGTGGGGAAGAATGTGCTCAAAATACATCATGCACATGTATGAAAATGTCATAATGAAACCCATTATTATATATCATTAATACAGGTTAATAAAATGTTAATGATTGGAGGGGCTATTTAATCACTTTGGAATTGAGTTTTAAAATGCAATCTGTACTTAACAAGAGGGGGAAGTACAGTGGTACAGAGTAAATGCCAGGGGGTGGGGGCCTTTGGAAAGCTCTTAAGCACCTGTCATACCTCTCCATCCTGTCCAATTAGAACTCTTGGCACACTGGTGGTTAAACACCCAAATCTTCAGTGTATGCCTAAGCCTTGGTCAAGCTGGAACAATTTGGAGGTAGACTCGTGGAGCCCTCAACAAACAGGTATCTTTTGACAGGCCAGCTCGAGACAGTGAGGAAGAGGATGATGACGAGAAGAGGGGCCGAGGATGCACCCTGCAGTACCAGCATGCCATGGTTCGAGTCCTGACCCAATTTGTGGCCGAGGCGCCTGATCCCGGGGGACATTTGGCCTACCTGCTGGGCTCTGACTGGCAGGTGGACATCACAGAGCTGATAACTGACTTCATGCAGGTGGAGGAGCCCAGGATTGCTAAGCTGCAAGGAGGGCAGGTCCTGACTGGCCAGGAGCTGGGCATGACCACCATTCAGGTGAGGCATTGGCAAAGTTGGACAGGGATTTCTGCACTCCTGCTGTGTCAGGTGAACCTCTCAACCATCTGCCCAGAACACTCTCCTTGGAGCTCGAGTTAGTGAAATCACATAGGACATAGTTTGAATGTGATATAGAACAAGGACCCTGAGACACCTCACCCAATACATAGGAGAAACAACGATTCACCTCTCTTTGGTCATGTCCCCTAAGCTGTAGAACTTTGAGAAGCAAAGACCTAGAAAGAAATTTACCCTTACTGGATCACAAGCCCTAGCCAGCTCCTACATACCAACCATTGGTCACCTGAGCTTTTTATCCCTCCACGACTCCTGAGAGTTGTCCCCTGACCTATACACACACAATAATAATGATGATGATGATGATGATGGTGATGATGATGATGATGATGCTAATGAAGAAGACGAAAAAGTAAATTTAATGTTGCTTTATATCAAGGAATTAGGAAGAAAATTAAAAGACAATGTCAACACCTGGGAGCCTGGAGGAGGGTTTGGCTTTAAACGTTCACTTTGAAAGATGATTCAAGTCCAAAGAGGAATTGTATGTTGACAAGGAAGAAAATGACTGTCTTCCTAGGCAGGAAGCATAGAGACTGTCAAGGACAGTCATCCAGTCCTGAGACCACTGTTAGTCCCACAGAGTTCCCGGGCGATAAACTTGCTCATTCACTTTTTTTCTGAAGACTTTCATCTCATTTCCATTCCCATTTGAATAGTCATGGACAGATAAACCAAAGGTGATGGGTGGATGGAACATGAGCTCTGGGGGACATAGGCACAGACCTAAGGGGGACTGCGGATGCATAGGGTGGGGAGAGCAGCCCTAGAACCTTCAAAAGCATGGCTGGGCATCCCTGGTCAGTAGGGGTGTGAAGAGAGAGTCAAGACTGGACTATCAACACCAGGTTGGACTCAGAAAGCGTCAGTGTCAGTGTGGGTGGTGCCATGTGAGGAAAGATGAGAGTTCAAGATTCCACTGGATCTCGTGGTCCCGTGTTTCTCAAAGTGTGGAACTGAAGCCTGATGTGTTGGTGAAAGCCTTTAATACCAGTTCTAGGAAAGTAGAGGCAGATGTCTGTGATTTCAAGACTAGTTTGGTCTACATAGCAAGTTTCAGAACAGTCAGGGTTAGACAGTGAGATCCCATCTTAAAAAAAAAAAAAACATAGAGAGAGAGATCCAACTGTGAAACTCAAGATCCCAGGGCAAGATAATATTTAGATGAGGAAGCCCTACTTTCTTTTTTTAAGATTTGTTTTTACTTATCTGTATTTTATATGTATGAGTATTTTCCCTGTATGTATGTCTGTGAACCACACACATGCATGGTGACCACAGAAGCCGTAAGGGTCTGTCATATCCCCTGGAACTGAAGTTATATATGGTTGTAATCCATCATGCGTGTGCTGGAAACTGAACCCAGGCTCTCTGCAAGAGAAGATAGTGGCAGCCAGGCATGGTGGTGCATGTGTTTAATCCCAGCACTCAGGGAGGCAGAGGCAGGTGGATCGCTGTGAGTTCAAGTCCAGCCTGGTCTACAAAACAAGTCCAGGATAGTGCAAGGCTACACAAAGAAACCCTGTCTTGAAAAACCAAGATAGAGAGGAAAAGGGAGAGAAAGAGAGAGAGAGAGAGAGAGAGAGAGAGAGAGAGAGAGGAGGGGGAGAGAAGCTAGTGCCCTTAACCACTGAGCTATCACTCCGGCCTCAAGAAACACTACTTTATAATTACATGCTGGCTTTCCCATGTGAGACAGAAATAAATATATAGTTATGGTGCCAAGTCATGGTTCTCTGGGGGACATAAAGCTGTTTGAAAGTTGAATAATTTTAAATAAGGATGCACTGGCAATAGCAGAGATGGCCTGTGCTGTGTACAGGAATCACCACATTCAAGGGAACGGTAACATCAATCTCCATTGCTAAAGATAAGAATGGAACACAGTGACAATTAGAGTTAGTGTGCCGGTATTTGAACTTGTGCCGGTAGGATGAACTTGTTCCCATGCTCTTCTATAGAAGCATTTTGCATCATTGCATTTCCATGACTAAGGCTTACTTTTAGAGGAGGCCTCCTTCTGCTCCCCTGGGCTCCTGCGAGCTCCCTGTCTCTGCATGCCCTCATTAATGATATGCGATGGCTGAAGTTCTGTGACCACATAGAGCTCCCCCCTTATCATGTTGGTTCTGCCTTCAGATCCTGTCCCCTCTGTCAGATGCCATTCTTGCCGAGAAGACAATCACTGTGCTGGATGAGAAGGTGACCATCACAGACCTTGGGGTCCAGCTGGTAACGGGGCTTTCACTGTCCCTGCAGCTCAGCCCTGGGAGCAACAGAGCCATTTTCGCCACTGCAGTGGCCCAGGAACTTCTGCAGAGGCCCAAGCAGGTAAGGAGGTGGAGTTTGAGACACGCATTTGCTGAGTGTTACCCAAGCTGAGGTCAGCACACACTACGTAAGGTCCATATGCCAGGTGGGTCAGCACACCGCAGAGCAGTCACACCAGATGATTGTCCCATTGTGAGGACCCTGCAGCAGGCAAAGGCTCTAACCAGGAGAGTCGCATACTCCAAACAGACACCACACGTCCTGTGCTTCTTGACTGCAAAGGATCTGCTAGCACATGCTCGAGAAGCCTCTTGCCTCCCAACTCCCTGACATGATGGGCAAGCACTGCAGGGGGTGACCGACAGCTGCTTAGAGTAAAAGCACTAGAGGATGCGCCCCTGTCCTCCACATGCCAGTGTGTTGGGGTGGGTACCTGGGTGGGTCACACTCTCCTCTGGTCCAAATTGCCCTGACTGGCATGCCAGCCTTACCCAGCAGTGGGAGGTAGGTAGAGGCAGGAGTAGACTCAGGATTACCACAGCCTGCATCCAGGTCCCAGCAGATTTGGAGGCTGATGACGTTGCCTCTCCTTGTTTCTCAGGCAGAAGTAGGGAACTGACAGGAGTCAGGAGTCTCTTTATTTGAAGCCAGTGTACTAACAGACTGCGTTATGCATTTGTGTTATTTGTTTTATGGATATGGATGTGTGTTGGGTTTCTACTGCTGTGAGAAGCACCATATCTAAAAGCAACTCCATGAGCTCATTTGGCTGACAGCTCACATTCAGAGCAGGAACTAAAGCAGAGGCCATGGAGGACTTCTGTTTACCGTCTCTTTCTTCATGGGTTACTCAGCCTGCTTTCTTCTACCATTGAGAGCTGGGCCCTCCCACACCAACTATTAATCAAGAAAATGCCCCATAGAATGGCCTACCATCCCCATCTGATGGAGGCATTTTTCTCAAGTGAAGTTGCCTCTTCCCAGATGAATCTAGCTTGTGTCAAGCTGACAAAAGTTCAACCGATGTAGGACCTATGTCTGTAGATGCGTCAGTCTGTGTGTCTTATATGTGCTCATGTATGTGTCCGCCTGTGGGCAAATGTGTATCTTATGTAGTGTATTGTCTGTTATCATACATTTTTGTGTTGTACATGTGTGTGTCTATGTACCTGTGTAAGCATACCGTGTGCCCGGTGTATGGATGGATCGATCTTCTTCATGTGTCCTGTGCTGTGTGTCTCATTGGTTGTATGCATGTTTGTGTAGACACCTGCATGTGTCCTGTGTACTCTGGGTTTGGATGTGTGTGTAGCATATATAGCTTGTGTTGTGTGTGAGTCTACTCTGATGTGTGCAGTTGTATAATGTTGAGTGAACTGACACAGAGGTTTTTGTACAGTGGATTTTGTACAGATAGTCTGTGCTTACCTGCCTCTACGGAGGTGGACAGACATTATTCCTTAGATGGAACATAGAGAATGAGGTGAACTTTACAACAATCGGTTCTTTCTGCATGGGGAAAATGTCCATTGAACCCACAGAGGGACTTTTCTGGAAGCTTCTCTACCCATCAGAAACCCTCCTCCACAGTTACCCTCGGCTGGGAAGGTTGCCAGACTCAGGCTTCCTTGAAGCCCCAGGAATCAGCAGAGACTGACCATACTCACAGCAGGAAGAAGACAGAGCCCAAGACACCACCTTGAACCTTCTATCTTCCAGCTAGACCTGTACCTCAACTTTCCCTCTCAGGTGCTAGCAGTCATTGATACCTGATAGCATAGTCTTATGTGAGAGATTTGGGATTAGGAAAAAAAAATGAGAGTTAGTATTCCTAGTAACAGATATGAACTCTTGGCAAAAATCAAGCCTCCTTTTGTCTAGAAGGACGGACACCAGCCTGCAAAGTGCAGATAGGAAGGGTGAGAGATAAGCTTTCCTCTTAGCTCAGTGGATGATAAAATCAGACCACAACCAGTTAGGAATTCAAAAGTGATAAGACGGAGCCAGAAAAGAGCTAATCCATCCCTGAAATGTAGAGTATCGCCTGCTCCCCTAAGGGTAGCTCTGGGAGTGGTTGCATGGTCCTCGATCCCCTCATAGAGCTTGGTTCTGACCTGACAACTTCAAAAAGCCGGGCATCCAAAGACAGCCTCTGCTGAGACTTCCTGGCACAATAGAGTAAGCTGGTGGGTCAGCGCTGGGTCCTGTGGCTTTTGTACTTCATCCTGGCCAATTTCCCACATAGCAGTTCAGGCCAACAGCTAACAAAAGGATGGTGTGGAAGCCACCAACCACCTTTGTTTCTTGCTTTGTTTCTTCCAAGCTAAGCACCATCCATGAAACATTTACTTCGGTCACCAGTGAGGGCTATTAAAAAAAGAAAATAGAATATGTTTGTGGGATATTTCTATTCTAAAGCAAGTTGTATGCTAAAATAGTACTATGTAAAATTAGAATTTTTAAAATATTTTAAGGTAAACAGGAAAAATGTAAGAGAGTATGTAAATAAGAAAGGGCAACTGTGCTCCTAAATACAAGAAATTTGATGACCTCTAGGTATAGGTCATCAATAATCACATCTGCACAATCACATCAATAATCACATCTGATCAAAATATAATGAATCATCTTAAGTCTGTGTAATACTCTAGATACCAGCAGTATTTGAAAATTTTTATTTGTTTATAATAATAAAAACTTCAGCAACATTAAAAAAAACAAAACAAAACAAAAAAAGGAAACCCAATCAATAGGGCGGTGGCTAGAGGATGGGGGACTCTCCTGTCTGGAAGATCAGATCATCTGGTCCCTACTCTTTCCCTGAGATCTTATCACTTTTTTATGCACAGTACTTATACTGTGCATAAGTACTCATATCTTTCCTTATTTGTGAGCTAAAATGGTGTCAAAGGGGGCCTTACTCCTCAGTTTTACTTATGTTCCCACCATTCATCTTTTGTGCTAGTATCTCAGTCTGTCTTTCCTCTTTCAGATATAAAAAAGAGAGGGAGGGGGAAGGCATGACCCTAGTCAGTGATGCTCAGCTTAAGGGATATACATCATGGCAATCTCCTTTCTAACAGGCTGAGGCCAGCAAGCAACACATGGGTCTCTAGGGCCTGTTCCCCAGGCAGGACTTGAATTTATATGTCCTGGGAGATGGGGACAGGGCTTGGGATGAAGTAGCCTTTCCAGGGAACTTGAGGAGGCAGAAAGCAGTGGGCATGCCTATCCACTGACATATCCAAGATCAAAGGCTTTTCTTAAAATGAAGCCTATCCAACAAGCCACTGTACCGTGCTATGAGTGAATGGAGATGTCTAAGCACAAAGAGCAGAAAGCAAGAGATGGAGACACACAGAGACCTCAGCTGCAGGCTGCCTTTGGTTGCCAGGTTTCTTCCCATTTCTTGAAATGGAGGGTGGAAGAAATAGAGGCAAAGTCCCCTACTCTATCTAGCTGGTTTCACACATGCCTTAAGCCATCTCCAGATGAGCCCTCTCCAGATGAGCACAAGCCAGTTGTATCCCAGAGAAGGTAGGGTCAATGAAACCATGGCCCTCTCTGGCCCTGAGGGGTGTCTAGATCAATGCCTGCAATCTATGTTATGTGTGATAATGTGACTGGATGCTACAATGGGCTCAGATGGCATGATACCACATTTAATTTATACCTGTGACCCTCATGAAGGAGCCCACTCACCAGAAATACAGTTCAACAAGCCATTTAAAATTGTACAGAAGTGGATCCTGGGCTGTCTCTGAGACTGTTTGTCTTCTAAGAGATGAGAAAATAAGTCAACCTTAATTTGTTTTTGTTTTTTCTTGAGACTAGGCTACCCCAGAACTCATTACATAGTCAAGGATGACCCTCAACTACTTGCTGCCTCCATTTCCTGAGTACTGAAATTAGAGTTGTGAGCTACTAAACTTGGGTTAATGTGGTGCTAGGAATGGAACCCAGGGCTTCAAACTTTCTAAACATAAGCACTCCAGCAACTGAACTATGACCCCAACTTCAAATGCCTATCTTATTTTGGAAGGCTTACTCTGACCCTATTGGTTCTCCCCAACCCCTTGGTTATTTATGGGAATTCATATCCCTCCATGATCTATGGTAGGATGTCTCCTGGCTTTCTCTACATTTCCTAACTGGCTTCTTCTTAAAGCCACAGGAAAATTTTACTTACACACACACACACACACACACACACACACACACACACACACCCTGTGTGCCTGTTTGCTGAGCCCCCTGACAGATGTTGACACACTTCTCTTGCTCCACAGGAAGCAGCCATCAGCTGTTGGGTGCAGTTCAGTGATGGCTCTGTCACACCCTTGGACATCTATGATGAAAAGGACTTCTCCCTGACGGCCACATCCTTGGATGAAAAAGTTGTCTCCATCCTCCAGGACTCCAAATTCAAGTGGCCCATCATCGCTGCAGAAAATGAAGGACAGGGGGCTCTGGTGAAGGTGGAGATGTTGATCAGCGAATCTTGCCAGAAATCTAAGCGGAAGAGCATTCTGGCTGTGGGAACAGCCAACATCAAGGTTAAATTTGGACAAAATGATGCAAACCCCAACAGCAGTGAGAGCGGACACCTTGGGGCTGGGCTTCATGTGGAGAACGTCAATGACAGGAGGTCCAAAAAGCCTTTTCAGGAATGGGGGAGCCCTGAAGGGTCATATTACAGCAGCTCATCTATGGGGCTCATGGAAGGATGGGGCAGTACCACCAAGAGGCCAACTTTCCAGAAGAAGGAAGGCCAGGAAAGCCTGTTAGATGACATCATCCTCTCGCAGACCATGGCCACAGACCTCACCAGCTTCCCAGACCAGGTGGACCTCCCCAGGAGCAATGCGGGCCCTGAGGAGCATGACCCCGATCAGGCGGCCAAGGGGTTGAGTGACCTGGAAATTGGGATGTATGCTTTGCTGGGTGTCTTCTGCCTGGCCATCTTGGTGTTCTTAATTAATTGTGTGACTTTTGCCCTGAAATACAGGCACAAGCAGGTTCCCTTTGAGGAGCAAGAAGGTCTGAGTCATTCTCATGACTGGGTTGGGCTAAGCAACCGGACAGAGCTGTTGGGGAACCACATAAACTTTGCCTCCTCCCAAGAGGAGCAGATCACTGCCATTGACAGGGGTCTGGACTTTGAGGAGAGCAAACTTCTTCTCAGCTCAAATTCTCAGAGCAGCATCAATGGACAGCTGCTCAGATCCACAGGAGCCTTGCTCACAGACGAGAAAGAGCAGAAAAGCGAACCCCCTACATCCCCTACCTCCAAAAGGAAAAGAGTGACATTTTCTACGTTCTCTGCCATCTCCTCAGACGATGGGTGTCCTGCTGGGAACACCATGGCATTGAGTAATGAGGATGACATTAAGTGGGTCTGCCAGGCCCTGGACCCCGGGGAGTGCCCCGAGCCTCACAGTTGCATGGAGAGGCTACATGAGCACGTGTAATGGAGACACCAATGTTGTTCTTACCTTTCAGCCTTTAACCCACCTGGGTATGAGGAGCAGACATGTGCCCGGGGGAGAAGTGAGACAAGAGGACACCATAAGGGTGACACTGTCCATGGAGCCCTGGGAAATGATGTCCTCTTAGCTGAGGATGCCCAGAGTCAGTACCCGTGTACATGCCATAACTCAGGATGTTTGGTTAAACTTAAGAAGTTTATTGTGCATGGCAAGATGTTTTGAAACCTGGAACAAAGGTGCCTGTTTGAGGGTTTGCAGGGAAGAACTCTTTTCCCTTTAATCTAAGCAATCTGGTTTTTTTTTTTTTTATGTCAGATCCATGATGCTCTGATAGTCGCTACTTCAGACCATGAAAAAGAAAGAAAGAAAGAAAAAAAGCAAGGCTCAGGTTGAGCATGCATGGATCAGTGAGAAGAAGTGTGTCATCTGAGCAGAGCAGCAGAACTGACTCTGAGTGTGCTCACGGGCAGAGTCTAGCACTGAAGCTAGCTACAAGAAGCAGGGTATTGAGCTGGTAGTTTGCAAAGATGGGGTCAAAGTTGGCCAGGGATTATTGACAGGTCAAGGCAGAGGTAAACAGGGCAGAAAGCAAATTGGTAGATGAGTCCACAACTATCTTTGTAACTACATGTGAAGAAACACACACACACACACACACACACACACACACACACATCACTGAAGCAATTCAGAGAAGCCTCCTGTCTGTAGGACACTGGGTACAGACCACATGGCCCCTTTAACAAGTTCACAAATTTGAACTTGATCTCTATACTCCACTGACACCCTTTCTGCAGCCATTGGTTATTTGTGAGAGAAAAAGGGAAGACAATTTTCAGAATTTGTTCCCTGCCTCTCTTTACCCTGGGCTTTATGTCAGCTTCAGGTGATATTCTAAGGAGAAAGTCCCAGGGACATACATCCCTCTGAAGAGGATGATTTCCAGAGTGTAAGCAGGACTCGGGGTGGGTTACCCACCCCCTTCCCTGCTTTCCTAGAAACCATAGAGGGCTCTTTTGTGATGGGGTCTGCTGCCACTCATGTTGGGTCTCCTGTCTAAGAATTTACCATCAGGGTATTAAAACAGAGCAGGGTTCTGTTCAGAGCAGGTGGGCAGTTCTGAGCTGTAAGAGGTAAGTGACAAGAAGGTGGGCTTGTGCATGCTTGCACAGCATGAGAGAGATGATGGCTATGTGCAGGTGTGTGCATGTGTATAAATGTGTGTGTGGGGGCACATGTGTGCATAAAGTGGGTATGTGTGTATATGTGGAGGGTGTGCATGTGTCTGTGTGTGCGTGTTTGGGGGTGCATACCATTGCAAACCCAAAGTCATCCCAGAAAGGATTAGCATTGCTTCAAATCAAAATGATTGATCAATGTCTCTAAGATCCCTCAAAAGCTGAGCCTATGATGATGGCAGAGGAGGCATGATCAGGCGATCCCCACCCCAATCCCCGGCTCACTGTGAAGTGAGGATAGTGGGCTGAAAAGTAGCCATGACCTTGAAGGATGAAGGAGACTGGTCTCTATGTGTTTCTAACATCATCACCATTTCCCTTCTCTCCTGCCCTTCAGTTCAATCTCTCTCTGTCTCTCTCTCCCTCCCACTCCCTCTCCCTCCTTCCCCCATCTCTGCCTCTCCCTCTCCCCCTCTCCCTTTCTGTCTCTCTCTCTCTCTCTCTGGGTCTTTCTGTCTCCCTTGAACCCATCTCTCAGTTTTCTTTCCCATTATTTTCTGTCTTTATCACCTTGTCTCTTTCCTCATTCCCCCCACCTTACCCGTCTTATAGAACATCCCTGCCATATAAGAGAATCTCCCTAGAGGACTGTGAGTCCCACCACCTCCCCTTCCCCTCATGCCCTCTTCCCTCTGACTGTGGTGCTAATCCTTTCGTTCTGACAGCCAGCAAGCCACCCAGCTCCTGTCTCCCAGTAGACTCCCCTTGTTTGGGTGGATGGTGAAACTCTTGCCCCTTTTACCTCCATAATCCTTTGCTTTCAGTTGCCTCAGTTCTGACTTCTTCCCATTGTTACCCACGTGATGTTTCCCTGAACACTGCGGCAGATGCCTGCTCCTAAACCCCTCCAAGTGTAGAATGTATTGTAGATTGTAAGAATGTAATATATATTTATAAACTTACTGACTGTAAATATAAAACCTGCACTCTGCGGCTTTATGGCTGGCCTTTGTCTTTCTACACATTGACCCTCCCCCTTCCCAGGGCCCCAGCATCAACTGCAAATGGCTTTCCCAATGCTATGGCTTTTGGTAAATGAAAATGTAGATTAAGGATCCAGTGCAATCCAATTACATACACCCTGACATCCTGTAATGCTGCTCCCGGCATCGAGGGGATGTTGACACTTGATGACAGAGTGTACCGTGTGCTGAGTGTCTCTTTCAGGACCTGAAAGGCTTTGAAAATAAATCACATGTGTAATTCTCTCCTAAAAGCTTGCTGACAGATGGTAGATGGGAGCCTCAGAGGTAAGCTCTTGGCCCAGCCTCCCGGTATGCTGGAGCAATGAGGGCATTCTGTCCTCTGCTTGGGTCTCCTAGGTGTTTACACACAGCTGTATTCAAAAATTGACCTTGATGGAGGTGACTCAGAGCTCCAGAACCCACATGAAAAGCTAAGCACAGTGCTGTGTGTCTCTAAACCCAATGTGGAGGAAGCAGAGGCAGGAAGATCCCTGGAGTTCATAGGCCAGCCAGCCTAGCTGAACCTGTGAGCCTCAGGTTTACCGAGAGACCCTGTTTCAAAAAGATGACATGGAGAGCAACATAGAATGATTTCTGATGTTTACAATTGACCACACTGACCATGAGGTGCAAACTTCATTCACTGTTACCCCAACATGGTTCTTCATAGAAGAACTATGGCAGAGCCCTGGGATGTGCATATGTGCGTGTGCGCACACACACACACACACACACACATACACACACACACACACACACACACACACACACGAGTGCTAGCTAGTCACTCAGCTATTTATTGAACAACTCCTCTGCAAGTAAGAAGGCATGCAGGTGGGACACTTGTCACTCTCACAGGCCTTCCCTATATTTGGAGACAGGGATTAACAAAGGTATAATAATTTGGTGATATCCACAAGTTTCATAAAAGCAATAAAACAAGTAACTGAAGGAAAGATTAAAATAAACAGTATTTAAAACCCTGTCTCTTGCCTAAAAATATCCAGATTCTCCTGTCCTTTAAAAACCATACACCGTGAGAAAGAGTATCGTTAGTATGGATAGAGGGTCAGCAAGTAGGGGACCCCTGCACCCCAGGGTACACTTGGAACAGAGCATCAATTCCAGCTGCCCCCACCTTCCTACAAGGAAAATGATTCTTGAAGCCAACTCCATCCCCAGATGGGGAAAACAAAAGAGAAAGGAGCTGTGTTTTTAAGAGAATAGAGAAATACGCTGCAGCAAGGGGGATCATTCTGTTCTGAATCTCCCAGACAATCACAGAGTCCCCACAGAGCACAGTGTAAGGGGCTGTGGCCACGGCTCAGTGGCAAAGTTCTTGCTGTACAAGGATGAGGACCTGAATTTGATCCTTGGTACCCACATCAAAGAGCTTGGCATGGGCTCCCTGTGCTGGGGACGTGAAGACAGACGGATCTCTGAGACTCACTGGCCAGCCAGGGCTAGCCCACCGTGTGACCCCAAGTCACAGTGAGGGACTCTGTTTCCAGAAACAGGATGTGGTCTTGAAAGATGGCTTGACAGCTAAGGGAGCTGGCTGTGCAAGCCTGATGGCCTGAGTTCAGTCCTGGAACCCACGTGAAGGTGGAAGAAGAGAGAAGACTTCACGAAGTTGTCCTCTAACCCCTATACACATTCTGTGACATGTGCTCATGCATACACACACACTAGAAATAATAATTAATAAGTAAAACTTTCTAAAATTATGAAGTTGGGGCTGGAGAGATGGCCCAGTGGCTAAGACTGCTTGCTGTTCTGATCCAAGCTTGATTCCCAGCCCCCACAAGGTGACTCACTACCTCCTGAAACTCCTGCTCCAGGGATCCAACCCCCTCTTCTGGCCTCTGCACGCACCAGGCATGGACATTCTGCACATATTTGCAGGGAAAACACTCATACACATAACAAAATAAATACTAGAACTAGCAATTGGAACAGCATGCGGGTAGCAGCAAGCACGGTTGAACTCTGACCTCCCCACTTGCATGCACACATGTGTGCATGCCCATACACATATGTGCACCTGTACAAACATGTACACCCATACAAGCACACGCTCACAAAGAACACACCAACTTCAGATACACACTCTGACGTGATTTACGTGCCTAGAACTTGAGCAACAACCCAAAGTCTGAATGAACAACAACAACAAAAACCCCTACAGGTGTCTTTCAAGCATAAACAAAGCCATGCTTTCTAGCTTTCTCATACCTGACCTGTGTGCTCACTATACCACTCATGAGAGCAGTGGACTTCCTACATGTTGGGGGAACCTTCCTGAAGCCACCATTACGGTCTCCTCAGCATCACATCCTGACAGTGTGCCTGCTCATTGCCTCACAGACCTCATCCATCTGTCCAGCCATAAGGATTTTGCAAACCAAGAGCCTTGGATACTATGCTGTCCTCTCTGGAGGACAGCGTTTCTGAGGTCAAAGTGCTGTTGGAATCCACTCCCTCTGAGAGTTTCAAGGCAGGGGGCATCTTCCCCAGCAGTTTGCTGGTGGCCTTTGATGTCTCTTGCTCTTAGAAACAGTGCCTTGGGACTGGAATGTAGCTCAATGGTAGAACACTTGCCTGGTATGTACAGGCCCTGGGTTTGATCCCCAGAATCTCCCTCCCCCAAATCACCCTCTATTTGCTGCTGCCTTCACTTTAGGTCTCTCTTAGTGTGGCCAAAGGTCCTGGTAAAGACACCTGTTTATGTACACATTTTGCTTTGAAACAAAGTCACATACCAGGACTAGGATCAGGCCTTTCTGTTTTGAAATATGTAGTTCAACCCACATTATCAGCCTTTGATCCAGAGATTCTAGAAGCTACTACTAGGACTGGCTTAGGTTTGGGGCTCAGGCTCAGGCAGTCCACTGGAGTTTCCAAGAATGTCTCAACCCAAAAGCTCTTTCTTCACCCTCATTTCTTCATTTAACACCCACTTTACAAATGAAGCTGTGCCAGGGCATGCTAGGAGTGTGAGCCAGTGAATATTTGTGTTTCCCCCTGGGAAAGCTCAGAACTGTGAATTCACTACCCATTTGACACCTCCCAATGAGCCCACATTAGCTCCTCTCCACCTTGCTTTTGCCTTTGCAAAACATTCAGTAAGAGGAGTGTGTGGACCAGGGATGCTGTCCCAGGAGGGGCATATCCTCCAGGCCACTGGCCACTTGCCATCACAAAAGCATTCTGGGTGATGAGAAAGAACAAGGTTGCCAGCCAGAGATCCAGGTACAAGACAACTTGACTCAGTGGCATCCCTTGAGAAGACCCTTGTTGGGTTCAGTTAACATTGAAAATGTGAGACACTAGCAAAATGCTTTGGTGTCTGTATTGGAGAGAGATGCATTTCTGGGTGTGTGGAGGGGTGTTGACCTGCAGGGCTGTTGTTCCAAATCACCACCAACAGTGTGACCTAAAACTACAGGAATGTGCTCTCTGTCTGTGCCAGAGTCCAAAAGTCTGAGGGCATCTCCAGGTACCTCCTGAGGTCTATGATGGCTCCTGGCCATGCATGGCCTCCTACTGTTTCTTTATTTTTCAGTCTTCTCATAAATAAGACCAGCTCCACTCTAGCATGACTCCATCTTACCTGCATTACATCTCTGAAAACCCTGTTTCCATGGGCACTGAGGGTAATATTTTTGATGGTTCTTTAGGAGGACATAATTCTATCCATCCCATGGAGAAAGATGCCCCTTGGGAAGGAAAAAGTCCTATATTGGTGGAAGGTTTTGTTTTTTGTTTGTTTTTTTTTTTTAATCTTTCTACCAGGCATGGTGGTACAAGCCATTAATCTCAGCATTTGGGAGACAGAGGCAGAAGGACCTCTGTGAGTTCAAGACAAGCCTGATCTACATAGTGAGTTCCAGAACAGCCAGGGCTACAAAGCAAGACCCTGGCTCGGAATAAAACAAAACATAATGTTTCTGATGCAAGTGATTTAAGATAATACATAAGAGCTGAAGAGATGGGTCAGAGGCCAAAAGCACTTCCTGGGAACATGCATGTGACTGCAGGAGCCTGCAGAGGCTTCGGGTGGCTGTGAGCTGCTCCACATGGGTGGTGGGAACTGACTCTGGTTCTTTGCAAGAGCAAGTGGCATAACTTAATCACTTAAGATATGCATTGACACTCACATATATTAAGTATATATTTTAAGTAAACATAAAATAATGCTTGCCTGTGGCTTTTTTTCTATCATCCTTCCATCCTTAGTGTTATTCATCCCCCCCCCCGTCTCTTCCCTTTCCCCCTCCCCATAAACGCAGGGACCTTTCCCATATCCTCCTATCCCCCCTCCACAAAGCTCCTTCTCCCCTGCACATGGTCCCCTTTTACTTTCCTGCTTTCTGTAACAGATGGAGCTTCCCAACTAGTTCTGGGCAACAGCTCTGGACAGTGGTGACAGGTGTGACTTTCTCTGAGAACAGTTGACTTTGTGGATCTTCTATGTGGGTGTTGACACATGGATCCCTGAGTCACCATGTGGAGGAGCCTGGCCACCACAGGACTTCCCACAGGCCTCTTCTTGACAAGGAGGACCTCAGCTCTTGCATATCACTGACACTTTGGTTTGCTACCTTGGCAGCACCCACTATGGCCCAATTACCATGGTTATATTGATCAGATGCCGCTGGTTCATTATGCAGTTGGATTCCCCAGAGCACATCCTGGTGTCAGAGTGGGAACTTAGGTGTGCAGCCAGGGGCCAGCTTCATGCCACAATCTATTATTTTTCCCTTTAAGGATCGACCTGACCCAGCTGCTAATGCAGGCCTGGCCCGAAGGAGCAGAACACACATACTTTCTTGAGAGCGAAGATATCCCCAGAGGCTTAATTGTGATTCTTACTACAAAGAATGATGGGACTTGACTGCCCTTCTCTCCTGGCTTGAGAGGGCTCATTAGCCAGCTGGGATTTGACTGTATGTGCCAGCACT